GCGAGAATTCCCAGTCGAATCCACAGCAGCTCGACAACAAGACGGAGCCCAAAACTAAAGCGAAGTAAGTGAATCAGTTGATCTTTTGGGGGGGGCACTCAGTTTTTTCTGTTTGTTTGTTTAACGGACGGTTAAACCACGTGTATCTGGCATCGCTGTGCAGGGTCATCACTGCAGGAGGGATCAAGTTGAGCCTCTGAAATGGTCCAGCGTTGTTCTGGAACTTTGTTGTTTATTTTAATCTGTAACCTTCATTATTTGTCTTTTATAAAAACTTGATTATATTCTGTGTTTAAATTCCTGATGTAATTATTATTTTGAGATGGATTGTGTCAGTTTTCCTGGATAATTTCCTGACGTTGTTTTTATTTCTTTCTAAAACGATACTTTTTTTAGGACCGTTTCTTTATCTTATCTATTATTATCTGTATTGCAATCTTTTAAAATCTGACATTTTTATCTTTTTCGATCATTTTAGTTGAACTTCCATGTTTAAGTTGTCGACGTCTCGTTACCTTTTAGTTTTTTTTTTTGTCAAAGATGATTTTTGGCTCTGATTTTCAGTTTGATAAAAACTGTGACGATGCAGTAAGAAGAGCTGCAGGGCCGCAGCTTCTTCGCTCTCGCCGTTATTACTCTTTACTCTCGGCGCACTTCCTCTTTCAGTTATAACATTATAATGTGTCGTCTGTTTGTCTCTCCTCCAAAATTCCTGCTCCCTTTTTTTTTTTTTTCCCCGTCTCCTTTTATTCCTCTCCCAGCTCTGGGGAGGATGAGGAGCTCTTCTGGTAAGTACACGTCTCCTCCTGCTCCTCCTCATCGTCCTGTGTGTCTGTAGTCGTCAGTCTGGTGTTCAGCTGCATAAAATGAGTCTTTGACTAGTAACACTTTTATCAGGCTGGATTCAGGTGCTTCAGTAAGGGAGGGGAACCTTTAACTGACCTCATGCATCTCATTGCTGAACGCTTTTCTTTTCAGGCTCTATTTGTTTGGTTTCGGTTTCTGCTTTTTTACGTGATTCTCTGGATTGTCTCATTGTTAGAAGCTGGGCCACATATACAGAGGTCTGACTGAAGGGGCTCCTTTGAGGGTTTTTATGCAGCTGAGCACCTGTCAGCAGGTTTCACGTTAAAGTAGCCGGTTACCAGCATGCAACTGCTGCCTGAACAGGATGATGAAAGCCTGCTGGTGCACCTGGTGTGTCTCTCAGTGTGTGTGTGTGAGTGTGTGTGTGTGTGTCATGCTCAGATGTGTATTGTGTCTCTACAGCCCAGTTGACTGTAATGTAAAACAGGACAAGCCGGTGCTGAGGAAGTTTGAGTAAGTACTGGTGCAGCCCCACTGCATGCTGGGAGTTGCAGGGATGGTT